GATTTATAGAGCAACCCTTAAATAGGTTAAATGATAAAGGCGTGAAATAGGCTTTAAAATTCAACTTTAGAGCAACTTTCTATCGACCTTTAATCGTTTCATAATTTGTTACAAGACCTGCTCCCCGAAAAGTTTCTTATTAACTTATTAGTGAGTGCTTAGATCTCTGTAGTCTTTCTCCTGTATGGATCTATATGAGGGTTATTTAAAACCAGGGAGCTTTCCGTCGGCCTAGTTAAACTCATACAATTTTTTAAAACCCCGTTTATTAGTCGTTAACCATTTCCACTCCTCGTGAAATAACGAAAAGCACACGGATGGGGCTCGATGTGAATGCCAGCTCTGCCAGCTGGGCAGTGTCTCAGAGCTGGTAGTCTCACAGGCTGAACGTATAGAGACAGCAGTCGTGTTAAGTTGCTCTCCAGTCTCTGTCGGTTTAAATGAGCCGATGCATGGCTGCAGCCCGCGCGTGTGTGTGTGTGTCTGTGTGTGTGGCTGCAGGCTCTGCAAGAGGAGTAGTGAATGTATCGGTGAGGAATGTACAGAAAGTCTCCCCGCCCCCAGCTTCAGAGCTCCTCGCTATGGACAAATTCCATAGGGGGCAAAACTGACATAAAGTTTCAGACTAGACTGCATCCTATGTGGGAAGATTTTCTGCGGTTAATGTCGGTGTAGGGAAAGAACTGACAAAATCGATCTGTTTAAACACAGTCTAGGACATTTCTAGAGGGAAAGTCAAGGAGGGAAAGAAGGGAGCGAGATTGTTTAGGTTTAAAAAAAAGGAGAGAGCTTATAGCCCAACTTTGAGCTGGCCTCGCTCCAAGATATAGTCTACGTCGCCAAGCGCAAGGCTCTTTCACAATCCTATTTAGGCTACAGAGAATCAAGGATTCTGTTTTCCGGTGAGATTGCTTTATTATGTTTTTATTTATTTATTTGTTGCGAGGCGATTCGCATCTTTAACAACATTGTCGTTCCACGTGAGTTTTAACCATTTCATCCAGTTGCTGACCGCTTCGGACAAGAGTCAGGGAAGACTGTGGTGAACGCCATGTTGAGAAGAATCTAGAGCCTTACAGTATCATTAACTAAAAGCAAACAATGTCCTTAACGATGATAATGCAACTGCGTTTTTCTTTTTTTTCTTTTTTCTGCTCCATACATGTGTTTTCTATTGTCATCAAGTGCTTTCATGTAGGCTCCAAAAAACCCTTAAAAAAGGGCACGTTTATTCCACAGATTCTGCTTTGAGATGACACCCTTCATCTCATTAGAAAATGGCGGTTTGTGCCCCCCTAAAGCACATGCCAAGGAATATTTCTTGCAGCAGTTAAATGGGGATAGCCATAGCCTGCTGGCAAATTAGCAAATATTCCAGAAAATATCTCTGTTATGTTATTTTTTTTTAAAAAAGACGAATAATCCCATAAGAATCTGCTCTAGCTTTTTTTTCTCGCTTTCTTGTCTTACACACCCTTTTCACCCCCCATACACAACTTAAATCTTGGGAATTTGTGTGGAAAAGTTTCTTCTTCCTATGTCATCAGTAGATGATAGTACTGCTTATATATGCTGATGTTTTAAATGAAATAATCATCCATTAGTGTTTTTTTGCTGGAAGAGGAGAGGAGGTTTAAAAAGCGGCCAAACGTAACACGATTGTTTTGTTTCAGTTGGCAGCAACTGTTCCTTTATTAATTGATCTATTTTTGTAATTAAAATATTTACCAAGTAGCTGATCATTTGGTTATATTCTGAGTTTAGTGCACACCCCACAAAGCATGACGTTTGTAGCAGCTGCAATTAGAAATTCTTATCTCTTCTTCTTTTTTCTCTCTTTTTAAAAATTGAACATCAAATGAACAAAAATGCACTTTGACGTCATAAACATTTGTTGATTTCTGTGTGTTTTATGTGATCTGAAGATCACTGCATTTTTTTTTTAGTCTATTGTTGTGAAGCCTTTGTGTAGGTTAGCAGCACATGTTGATGCAGGAGGAAAAGTTTTCACGCAGAGTCACATGAACATTTGCAGACTTTGGTATACATTGCAGCTATACTGAACGGCCATGCTTTAGCATGTGGCTTTGTCTCTCTTATAGGAAACCTTCCCCTCTGGCAGTTGTTGTTTACTGGTTTCAGCACCTTGATTGATTAGCTACAGTGTGCTACGTGTTAAGAACAATTCCTTCCTTAACGCCAACCCCCCCCACCCAAAAAAAAGCAATGACTTGTTTTCTGAAAGAGGATGGAAACATGATTTGCTGTTTTTTGGAGTTTTAACACTTTGCAATTTTGCAATGGGCTTGTGTTTGTTGTGCGAGAAAGTGCGTGATTTGATGAATCTTAAGCAGAGTAAGTTGTCCGTTTCCTCTGATTAGAAACGCAGGTGTGATTTGAAAGCATGTGAATATTGAATATTTAAAATAAAGTGATGTGATGAGCATCTGTGACTTTGAATATTTTTGTTCATTAATGTAAGTGTTTAAAAAAACACAAATCGTTTAAGGGCATTTTCTTCAAACATCGAGCTTTTAAATATTATAGATAATAATTAACTTTGTAATTAGTGTGTGGATTGCCATTTGGGTTTAGCAGTCCGGTATAGATGCATGCAAAACATTAAAATGTTTTAAAATGGCTATTTAATTATTTTAACATGTTAATACAAATTAGACTAGTGTTTGTAAAGCAATAAAATGCACCCCTAGTGTAATAAAATGTTGTTTATCTGCTGAATTTGTGGAAATCTCTTTAAAGTATGAATAGAAAAATGAATTTAACTTTCAGAAATGTAATTTTTGAAAGCATCTGCTGACTAAGATTAAGAATTTGAGATAATGGTCCAAATGAAAACAATTAAAAGAGTCCGGCTGTATTTATGTAAGACCCCAATTTCCTTAAGAACAGAGCTCACAGAAAAATAGAAATTTTTAGGTAATCAACCACTGTTAATGTATGTTATTCCAAGTAGAAGCCCAAGCTTATTGGTTAAATGCGAAGAATTCAGAAGTATCCCCATCAGTGTTCCTGCTGCCTCTTAACCTTCAGACGGTGTCCTGTACGCTGCAAGCGTCTCCTCCCAGTTTTAATCTAATCACAAAGGCATGTTAAAGCTACAGGTTGCACCTGGTGTAAACCTGGGTCTTGTTTAGTTCAGTTTTATAAAAATGAAACAGTTAAAGTATGCGTGAAGGTTCATGGAAAATTCAGAAAGTTCTACATTTTATGTAGAATCAGTGTACTGCAATGATTTAGTTATCTTTCTCTCAAAAAATCAGTGTAGTGGATGTGTTTAATTCTTCGTCTAAACACACTATGTTACTCTGCAGCTGGGTATATAGGTGTAATTTATGGAATCCCAATAATATCTCGGTAACCCTTAAACATCATGTTTCCTTCTGGTTCTCGACCCCCTGCCATGACACCTGGGTCTTAGGACAATATCAGTGACTAAAAAACCCCCCCCACAACTGCACACGTAACTATACAATCTAGAAAATGTCCTGGATTCTCTCATTTCCCTGCACCTGCTCTCTACGCTGAATGCTAATTTGGCTACCACAGGACTCAGATCAGGAAACAATAACTGTAATTAGCTTCATCAATCAAATGTTCATAGGAACAAGTGTACGTACAAGTTCACTCATGAAAATGTGAAAGTGAATGCTCATGCACACTTAGAGATGATATAGATGACGATAAAGTGTTGGGTTTTTGACCCTTGTCTCCTTCGAGCTAGTAGTTACCTTGAAATCACAAGAATTATGTGAATGACTAGGAATGAATGCATAACTCTGAGGGGCCCCATGACATGTCAGCAGTGATTATTAACCCCATTTGAATGAAGTGCCTTGTTATTGGTCCCATGGTCTACAGATAAAGGACCCTTCATTCCTTCAGGTTTACTTTTGTGATTATCTGCTGTGTCAAAATCCCATTTCCTCTCAATCTGTTCAAATTTTAGCTGTCTTTATAGGGGACAGAGTGAGTGATCATGGTGGCTTCATGCATTCTGCAGGGTTGTTGTACCTGTGGCTGGTAACACCATTGTATGCAAAACAAATCTAATCATGTTCTGTCTCCTTTTCATTATGTAATATCCACTGTCACAACGGTGAAGAAGTTAGTGCATTTTAATGTATTACCCCTCCATGTGAACATTGTATTTTATTAACTCAGTCTAATAAAAGTCTTGCTAAAAGCCGTTGTGTTTATTTTCCTTGGTGTCATCTTAATGAAAGTAAACTGAATGTATATTGAGGATACACTGTAGTTTCAACACAAGAACACAGCAGGCGACTTTAAGTTTGTGTCGATATCTTATTGTGCACACCACCTTGGAATTAATCTTGTTCTGTGAATCTCTTGCTTTCCCACCTCACCCACTCAACTTACAGCATTCACTCCCACCTGTACAACTAAATCCCAACTTCAATTTCATGAACATTAAGTCAGAAAAACACCTTAAACTTTCCGCGGTTTTCATAAATTTGTATTTTCCATACAAAGAAACAACAATAAAAATAAAACAAATTGCAAAACATGATATTAAAACTCTCTGAAAACTTAAACAATGACTTCTTGACTGGGAAAAAAAAAATTGAACTTCTGATGTTGGTAGCACTTCATTTTAACCACCTGATTTAGTTACCATTAAAGTTATTTAGTGTCAAAATTAACACTGGCATTAATTTGTTATCTTTATACACACAGAGTGCATCATTAATACAGGCTGCAAAATCCAGTGTCACTTTTTTCTTTCCCCATCTTGAGTACAAAGTTAACAGTGATGAGTACAAGAAATCTGATCAACCATAAGTGAGCAAAACACGCGATCCGAGCTCCAGAAAATGAAGGAGGAAGGAAAGATGGAGGTCTAATAATGAGGCAAGAGTAAGCCACAGGTGCTGATTTCTGTGCTCAAACTCAACACGGATGCATCCAAAGGTCTAAAAATTAAGACATCTATTTCATGTAAACAAGAACTACTTTAAAACTCAAGAGTTCTGCTGATATAGACATGCTTAATCAAAATGTTTCCCTCTGAAACACTTTGATTTACCACACGCAAACATACACACACACACCCATCAGTTATTGGAGGGATGCTGAATGTTGAAAGAAGCAACTCAGTAACGTCCTGCAAAAGACAAGAAACAACAGACATTTCTGTTAATAAACGGCTGAAGTCTGTGAAGTGCAAAAAGACTGATCATCATTTCACCAGAGACTTAAGCACAGAGATGTGTTCCAACAAGTGCAATAACCATCTTTTTGTGCGCCATTTCTCTTCACACTTACGTGGGCTGTAGGAGCGAGACCGTGAGCGAGACCTGTATCGACTGTAGTACGGTGATGGAGAGCGCCTGCGACTACAAAAAGAAAAAAGGAACTTGAAATGTGTCTTCTACCATATAATACTACAACACTTTGTAGTTAGAAAAATTAGCGCTGACCTATATCTGTAGTCGTACTCGTCATATCTGTCGTAGCGGTCATAGCCACGGTCATAATATGACTCTCTTCCCCTTCTGCTGCTGCTGCCACCGCCGCCGCCACCACCACCACCACCACCACCACCATTGCTGTAAAAATGTAAAAAAGTTAATTAATTAAAAAAATAAATACATAAAAAAAAAGTAAAATGACTTCTGAGAAACTTAAGGGGAAAAAAAGCACCATGTTAAGCACAGACAATACTGCATTTAATCAGTATGGCTCAGAGGTGCATTTAAGCTTCATGGAGATTTTAAATGGAGCTCCAGTGTTATGCAGTAGGTTAAGTGAACAGGTATCTAAGATTTGATACAAATGCTGATCTTACTGTGTAGGCCGGCCCATGTAGATTCCTGGCGTAGGGGTATGGGGACGTTTAGTAATGGAATAATCCACTCTGATGCGCCTCCCATCCAGCTCCATGCCATTGGCTCGCTCCATTGCCTGGGAACACAAAAGGGAGGAGAATACAAAGATATTGTCAGACCACTGTAAGCTCTTTGGTAAAAATGTATTTAAATAATGAAGGCCCACCAATATTGCACACTGAAATCATCTATATTAGACCCCATGATTGGGTGGTGAGAGAATTTAAAGAAAGGCTGACACCTAGTGGCATACTCAAGTAATCACACCCAAGCTTTTAAGAAAAAGAAAAAAAAAAAACTCTCTGAAGAAGCAAATCTAAACAACTGGTAACAAAAATGGAGAACTCCCTCTTTCTGGAATTTGGGTTTCATTGGGGTAACTGTGAAATAGTCCAGAAACATTAGGAACTGTAGCCAAAACTATTTTCATAATGTTTGTTGATATAATGAGCCTATTTCTGCCAACAATGTTTTTGTTTTAATCATTTCCATTCTTAACTCAAAATTGAGATATATTTAAAAAATATTTAGTCAGATATCTAAATAAAAATTTTAAAGATTTAAAATAGTAAATAAAAAAATGAGATAACCTGAAAATACAATATTACAATAAAAATAAGTTGCTCGCATCAAGTCTGAAGACCATTGGGCATCGGATCCATAAATAACACCCCAAATATTTTCCATACCTCTTTAGAGTCTTCAAGCCTCTCAAAGTAAACAAAGGCAAATCCACGGGAGCGACCTGTGCGCTGGTCATACACCACGTTGACTCCAGCCAAAGGACCGTAGCGTGAAAACACCTCTCTCAGGTCACGCTCAGTCGTGTACAGGCTCAAACCAAACACCCCCAAACACGTGCTCGGATCAGGGTTCGCCTGGAAAGGTCAGCGATAGGGGTAAGAGTTGATGACGTAGCTTACCACATCTACCCATGTAATGGTTTGCATACAGAATATATTTAATGTATTTATGATGCCCCCCTCACCCTCCACCACATACACACAGGATCACTTTACATACTTTATGCACAGATGCTAGAAAAATGTCTTTCCCCAAAACCCAGCACAGAAAATAATCACTAATAAAACACATTAAATCAATCATTTATAACTGATGCAGCTGATGCTTAATGGTTGCTTTGGATCAGTTTTGCAGCTTATGGACAAAATACTGTTTCACCTACACTGGATACATGCTCTCACATTGTGACTTTTGACTTATAACTGAGGCAGTTATTGAGTTGCTTTGAAGGATATAATCCATATAATTTATGTTTGTACAATGGGGTAACAAAAGATGATGAAACAGTAGCACAATAAATTCTCAGTGGGTAAACTATGACAGCTTTAATAACCCCTTAAACTGCTTTCAAAAATATGTCACAGGGAGAGCTATGTATATACACATGCTATAAAACCTTTTCACTTGCCTCATGCTTGCTCTGTTTTGTATTATTATATGGCCCACATAAAGCAGCTGTGCTCTACAAGTATTGAGCTTAAGAAAGCTAGTTAAACTAGTTAAACATGGTGCTGCAAGAACATGTCAGCAGATGAGGAACCACTGAAACGCATTACTTTTTGTGCATATGGCATAAATATATACAATATCTTTTTACTTTACCAGCATTTTACATTTGAATCTTTAAAGTCACTTTAAAAAAAGTAGGGCACTTAGTATATCATTTGATCTGCTCAAAAATTATTGTCATTGTAAAACACATAGCACATTGTACTTTATATGCAATAAAACTGCACACACATCAGAAATCATCAATTACTGGAGCAACAAAATAAACATACAGTAAAGAAATAGTGGCAGCATTTTTTTTAAGTACTTAAATGTTAGTTGAGGCCACTTTTCCACTGGAGTTTCAAAATATAACTTGATTCATTAGGTGACCTAATACTTATTGTAGATAATAAAGGTGACGCTGGTTGCAAACCAGCCAGTGTCCACATACATCAAGTTATTTGTATTTCTAAAAATTTCACTATGATTATTTATGCATTTATACCCTCATGCAGCACTGCAATGAGAGTGGTAACTTTGACCCACACACAACATTACTCCCCCCCCCCCAAAATATGTCAGAAGGTCCACATACCCTAACATCAGCACCACCGCCATGACTGTATGCTTCTTTTGTGAAGTCATGGCTCTGTTGATATAATGAAAGGGAGGGAAGGTTTATCAAAGGGGTTATTAAATGTCATGTCAAAGCGGATTCCCACCGCATTTACCACAATCAACTGATAACATAAAACATATTTTACACAACAATATATTTTTATAACATAACACAATGAGAACACTTCTCTGGACTGTAAAGACTTTTAATTAAACACTTCCTGTTAAAACAGTTGTAATTCCTAATAACAATTTAAAACAAACAAACAAGCAAACAAACAAACATAATATACATATTGAAAAAATAAACCAAAATGACAAAACTGTTTTGTTGAGATTAGCCTGAAGCCTCTGGAAACATGTAGGTGCGCTAAATAAAAATGTGTCATGTGTTAAGTGAAATGTGGTGTGAAATTCACTTACAGGCATGGCCTCCTTTAAAAAATAAACCCCCCCCCAAGCATTTTGAGCGTATAAATTTTCACTTTAAGTATATCGTGCAGTATATATTCATGTCCACACTACTTACTAGCTATGACACACAATAACCCAGTCTTTACAAATCTGATTGTGAATGTGTACGTTTTTTACCTTTCCTTCCATAACCTACACAGTTACACTTACCCTACTGCCAGTGTGACGGCGCCGGTTTGACATGGGGGACGTGCTCTGGCTCTTCCTGCGCCGGTATTCAGGGCTGTAGGAACGAGAACGGGACTTCCTCCGGTGGGAATAGGACCGAGAGCGTGAACGGCTGTACCGGCGGTTTGAGTGCCGTCTAGAACGAGATCTAAAAATGAAGAAGTGAATTCAACAGAAGAGAAGATGGCAACATTTAGGATAATCAGAGTGTGTGTATGTGTGTGTTTTGGGAAGGGGGGGG